AGGTTTCTGTATGTTTCACTAGAGGGACAATTTGTTAAAAAAAAAAAAGTATCAAAGATATCTAGGCAACAGGGCGAAACCTCATCTCTACAAAAAACACAAAAATTAACGAGGCCTGAAATGGAGGCTCACTATGTTACCCAGGCTAGGTGTGCGCCTGTAGTCCCAGCTAGTCAGGAGGCTGAGGTGGGAGGATGGCTTGAGCCCAGGGATTTGAGGCTGCAGTGAGCTGTAATCACATCACTGCACTCCAGCCTGGGTAACAGCGAGAGCTGTCTCAGAAAAAAAGAAAAAGAAAAAGCTGTCTAGAAATCGTTAAGATACCACTGCAATAACAGTTAAGAGTTGGGTGATCTTAAGAGATAGGAAGATATGAAAAGAAGGAAGGATCCTATTAAGTCTCAAGGACTTTACATTTAGGCAGGAAGTCATACAGATAATTAAAACCCAGAGAAATGCAAAATTCAATGAAGTAATGTAAGTGGTCTGGGGGAAGCTAAGCACACATTTATGAGAGTCTGCTTAGTCCCTTCAGGGCTCAGACAGGGCCAATAAAATAGTCACATCCCGGCCAACAGAAAAATCTTAGCAAGCAGAGAAGTGATTCCAAAAATTACATGTGACATACATGTAACATAATAATTTGGTGTAACATACTTATTTTATTAGTGAGAAAACATCATTTTTTTTTTTTTAAGAGATGGGGCCTCACTATGTTGCCCAGACTAGACTTGAACTCCTTGGGCTCAAGCAATCATCCTGCCTCAGCCTCCCTAGTAGCTGGGATTACAGGTGCACACCACCACACCTGGCAATTTTTTGTATTTTAAGTAGAGACGGGGTTTTGCCATGTTGACCAGAGTGGTCTCAAACTCCTGACTTCATGATCCACCCGCCTCGACTTTCTAAAGTGCTACAGGCACGAGCCACTGCGCCCGGCCAAAACTAAACATACTCTTATCATACAATCCAGCAATCATACTTCTTGGTATTTATACCCAGCAAAGTTGAAATCTTATGCCTACACAAAACCTGAACATGAATATTTATGGCGGCCTTATATTTATAATTGTCAAAACTTGGAAGCAACTAAGATGTCCTTTAATAGGTGAATGGATAAAATGTAATACATCTACAAAAAGGAATATTATTCAAAACTTTAAAAAATGAGTTATCAAGCCATGAAAAGGCATGGAGGAAATTTCGGTGCATACTGCTAAGCAAAGAAGCCAATGTCATGTATATAACATTTTGGAAAAGGCAAAACTATGGAGACAGTAAACAGATCCATGGTTGCAGGGGATGAAGGGGGAAGGGATGAAAAAGTAAAGCACAGAGGATTTGTAGGGCAGTGAAAATACTCTGTATAATACTATAATGGTAGATACATGTCATTATACATTCATTCAAACCCCTAGAATGTAACCAAGAGTGAATCCTAATGGAAACTATGAACTTTACTAATTATGATGTGTCAATGTAGATTCATCAACTAACAAATGTACCAATCTGGTGGGGGATGTTGATAATAGGGAAGGCTGTGCATGTATAGGGGTAGAGTATTTAGGAAATCTCTGTACCTTCCTTTCAATTTTGCTATGAACCTAAAACTACATACACATAAAGTAAGTCTTAAAAAAAGTAAATAGAGGAAAAAAATTGATTAAAACTTCTGTTTTGTTCATTTTGAGACTGGGTCTCATTCTTGCCCTAGCTCAATCTCGGCTCACTGCAACCTCCACCTCCCAGGTTCAAGCAATTCTCCTACCTCAGCCTCCTGAGTAGCTGGGATTACATGCACCCACCACCATGCCTGGTTAATTTTTATTTTTAGTAGAGACGGGGTTTTGCCACGTTGGCCAGGCTGGTCTCGACCTCCCGACCTCAAGTGATCTGCCTACCTTGGCCTCCCAAAGTATTGGAATTACAGGTATGAGCCCCCGTGCCCAGCATAAAAATTGATTAAAACGTCCAAGAATACATACTCTATGATTCCATTTATATAAAATGCAAACCCCTCTATACTGATAAAAAGCACATTAGAGGTGGGCCAGAAGGGGTCTTGCAGGTGATATATATATGTTCTATATCTTGATTGTGATCAGTATACATAAGTGTAAAAACTTATCAAACAGTACACTTTAAATGGATGGAATTCATTTACTAAAGTATTCGTCTGAGGATCTGATAAGAAAAAAAGCAAAACTCAAACAAAATAATCAGACAATATATATGTAACGTGTAATTAGGTATAAGCAGAAAAGTCATGCAAATGATAGCAACTTTTAGAGGAATAAAACAAAATTCTAGTTTCCCTCTTTCATTTGTTCTCAGTAACTACAGGCTTTGTCAATTCTTTTCCCCAAATATTATGTACAGATAAAGACCTCATTTCATAACTCTCCCTCACCCCATCATATCCAATCCCTCCTATCCATTCCTAACAACCTCTGGGAGGCCAGTGGGGATAATTTTACCATTTAAACTTCCACTAACCCTGAATGTCCTGGATGCAATGAATTCTGAAGCACAATAACTCGATATTAGAGAAACACAGGGCAGAGTAGCCTACTCATTCTATCTTCATGTTTCTGTTTTCTCTTCCTGTCCATTTTGTTAGAGGATTGATTACACTGTTGTATAGTATTTGATGTTTTTCTTTGTTTCTCTTTTAGACTGATAAACTCTTTGTGGGCAGGAAGAGTACTTTGTATCTCTCCAGCTTTAGTGCCTGACAGCTTTGCACGTGCTGAGTGAATTCCTCCCCTTTTGATTACAGGAATGCTAACTAACCCACAAAGATGATGCTATCAAGGTCTTTCAAGATCCAGCTTCAGTGCTAGTTTCTCCTTGAAGCTGTTTGTAATGCCCTGACTGGAATCTCGCACAATTTTCCCACCAATGCTAAAACGGGTCATATCCTCTTTTATTCAAGTGTTCAGGCTTTGGAGTAAGACCTGAGATCAAATCCAAGTCCCGCCATTTACCTTCTACTTAAATCACTAAAGCTCTCTAACAAGACATCAACCACAGAGCAACCAATACTTATCACGTGCCAGATACTGTTCTGAGTGTTTTACATGAATTAACTCACTCAACCTTCATAGCGACCCTACGTTTGTACAACACAGTGAATGCAACTAATGTCACCTAAGTATACACTTTAAAATGGTTAAAATGCCATATTTTATGGTGTATATCTTTTTATCACAATAAAAGTAAACACAGGCACAGAGAGGTAAGTAATCTAATCAAAGTCACACAGCCAGTATGCAGCAGAACTACTTCAAACCTCAGAAGTCTAGCTTTAGAGTCCATACTCGTAACTTCTACACTGTATTGCTTCTCACGAAGTCTTATTTTCTTTGTATATAAGAACAGCATGACCTACCTTACAGGTATATAAAGTGCTTCACACATGGCAAGAGCTCAAAAAGGTTATTTATTGTTTGCCTTAGTCCTTTTCTAAACATTTAGACTCCCTGAAGGCCAAGTCTTTCTTAAGTATCTTTGCATTTCTCTCATTGTACCTAGCATAGAGTACAACAAATAGCAGACTCAAAATAAATACTTTCTTCAGAGGAATGTCTGTGGCATCTAGAAACCCATATGGATTATAAAAAAAAAGACAACACTATACAAGTAAAAATTTGAAGTGTTATTACAGACATAAAGTAACATTTGTGCAATTTTTATAGAATGCTCAATTCTGACTGATGAAATTGACGCTGAGCTAGCTAAGGTCTGAAGGGGAAATAAGGGGAGATGGTACATCTACTTCCCTAGGTGGCAGTTTTAAGTACTACAAAATGTAAGTCCAAGGAAAAAAATCCTTAATCGTGACATCAGGATAATCATAACTGCAAAATACTGTTTAAAACAAACAAACAAACAAACAAAAAGGCCAGACCCAGTGGCTCACGCCTGTAAACCCAGTACTTTGGGAGGCGGAGGCGGGTGATCACCTGAGATCGGGAGTTTGAGACCAGCCTGGCCAACATGTAGAAACCCCGTCTCTACCAAAAATACAAAATTAGCTGGGCACGGTGGCGCATGCTTGTAATCCCAGCTACTCAGGAGGCTGAGGCAGGAGAACCGCTTGAACCCGGGAGGTGGAGGTTGCGGTGAGCCAAGATTGCACCCTTGCACTCCAGCCTGGGCAACAAGAGCCAAACTCTGTCTCAAAAAAAAAAAAAAAAAAAAGTTCAACGCAGCAAAACTCGGCTCTACAGACACACGATGCAGAAGACAAAACACTGCAACCGTTCTAAGGACTAAATAATTACAACAGTATTCTCAGTACTATTTGGCGTACGATCTAGAAGATCAAGGTAAACAGTAAAGACAAAATGAGGAGACCTACATTTCCAGATGCCCGTGGCACTGATATTGGGCTGTAAAACCACAGATTCTCAGGGCTGCCACCTTAGTGCTAAGCGGACACAAGGGCAAGTAGTGTAACTGTTCCAACTCGGATGGAGCTCAGAGTGGTCCAAGTCAAAGCCGGTGCAGTCACTACGGCTCAGCTCTACGCAAGAGTTGCAAGGAGCTGAAAGCAGCAAAACAGCTTTTGTGGGGCCTACAATAGCCTTCCTGAGCGCCCCAGAAACCGACTAAACCTCGTCTCTCCAGAATCCACCTGGAGTCGCTGCGACTGGAGAAATCAAGAGTCTGCCGCGTTAAAATGTCTAAAACAATAAGCAACCCCAACTTCCACTTTCAAAGCGCGTACGGTTTCCATTTGCTCCCCTGCCTCTGTGGGAGGATGGAACATGTAGACACCGCTTCCCGCCCCGCCCCAGGTAGGCCCTGAATCAGTTGGGGGTTAAAAATAATGAGGCGGGCAAGGCAGCCTCTGGCCACAGACTCCAAAGAAAGGGAACGACCCGGGCATCAGACCAGAACAGACCCTCACACCCCAGCCCTGGGGTCAGCCGGGCCCCGCAGCAGCAGCCTCGAAGGGACAAGAACCAGGAGAAAAAGAGAGCGGCCAAGCTCACCTGCCGCTTGTTCATCCGCCGCACATCGTCCAAAAAGTCTAGAGACAGCATGGCGGGGACGGCGAGCAGGACACCGGCAAGGGAGAGGGCGCGATGACCAGCGGGCGGAACGACTGGCGCTCGGGTCGGGCTCACACTATACAGGACCCCGCAGTGCCTGCACTTCCGCTTCCGGGGCGGGAACCGGCAGGGTCTGGCACGGTCCCGCCCCTTCGCTGCGGAGAGCGGACAAAGAGACTCACTACCGTGCTAGTCCTGTCTCAGGGCTTGGCCTCGCCAAGTCTAATGTCTCAGGGCTTTGACATTAGGGTTCTCCCGCTCTGGCTCTCTTAGGAGAGCCAAGAACCGACTGGATCCCACCTCTTGGGATCTTCCCCGCGGCCCCTCACCGAGGTGGCGACCCAGGTTCAGGTGGGGAGGCATCCCGGCCAGCTTCGCAAGGCGGGCCCCTGTGCACGCCAGGCCAATCGCGAGCAACTTCTCCGGTGTGGGCGGATATGGGTGTGGCAATGGACGGGTCGTCTGTCCATGAGTTCTCTGATCCAGCAAGTCTTCCGCTCTACGGAAAGCTGACGAGGTGCTCTTTTTCTTCTCTCTTCTTTTCTTCTCTCTTTTCTTTTCTTCTTTTGAAACAGGGTCCCACTGTGTCTCCCAGGCTGGAGTGCAGTCGCGCAATCTCGGCTCACTGCAACATCCGCCTCCCGGGTTCAGGCGATTCTCCTGTCTCAGGCTCCCAATTAGCTGGGATTACAGGTGCGCGTCACCATGCCTGGTTAATTTTTGTATTTTTAGTAGAGATGGGGTTTCACTCTGTTGGCCAGGCTGGTCTCGAACTCCGGAGCTCAGATGATCCGCCCGCCTTGGCCTCCCAAAGTGCTGGGTTTACAGGTGTGAGCCGCCGAACTTGGCGGACGAGGTCCTTTCAATAACTGCTTTTCGCGTAAGGTTGAACTATATGAGAGACCTTCAAAGCACTGCCTGAACCTGCCAGGAATTTACAATCCTCTCGATTGGAAAGAAAACAGCCCGAGACCATTAGAAAACACCCAAACGGTGCAACAATGTGATGAGAACACCAGTGGTGTGGGTAGTTAGGAAGTGACTTCCTTTACGATCTTTACTTTGCTGACAGGATTTGACATGGTCTTGAATTCTACCTCCTGGTTTTCTTAACTCTGACACCTTGATGACTATCTTTTCGCTACCTTTGGCTTTGACTGGCCAAAGCTCCTAATACCCGCTTCAGTCAACAAAGACTAGATTACTTGGTATTATTTCTCTCTCTCTCTCTCTCTCTCTCTCTCTCTCTCTCTCTCTCTCTCTCTCTCTCTCTCTCTCTCTCTCTCTCCCGTCTCTCTCTCCCCGCCCCCCTCTCTGTCTTTCAATATAATCGTTCTCTCCCATTAGGGAAAGAAGAATGAAGGACATACTCGAACTCTTTGTACTACCCTCGAATTTCTTTAAATGGAAAGTCATTCCAGAATAAAACCTTGAATTTATTGGAGGATGGCTGTAAAAAAAAAAAGACAATAAATTTGGGGGAGGATGTGAAGAAATTGGAACCCTCATACATACACTGCTGGTGGGAATGTAAAATGGTGCAGCCACTTTGGAAATAGCTTCAGTTCCTCAAAAGATGGGCTGGGTCCGATGGCCCACGCCTATAATCAAATTAGCCAGGCCTGGTGGCATGTGCCTGTAATCCCAGCTACTCGGGAGGCAGAGGCAGGAGAATCGCTTGAACCCGGGAGGCGGAGATTGCGGTGAGCCAAGATTGTGCCACTGCACTCCACCCTGGGCAACAGAGCAAGACTTCATCTCAAAAAAAAAAAACAAGAAAAGGTTAAAGACGAAATCACCATATTAATCAGCAATTCCACTGCTAGATTTATACCAAAGAAAATTGAAAACATTTGTCCACACAAAAACTTGTACATGAATGTTCACAGCAGCATTATTTATTTATTTATTTTGAGACGCGGAGTCTTACACTGTCGCCAGGGCTGAAGTGCAATGGTACAATCTCGGCTCACTGAAACCTCTGCCTCCCGGGTTCACGCAATTCTCCCGCCTCAGCCTCCAGAGTAGCTGGGATTACGGGCACACACCACCACACACGACCAAATTTTTGTATTTTTAGTGGAGATGGGGTTTCACTATGTTGGCCAGACTAGTCGGTCTCGAACTTCTGACCCTGTGATCTGCCTGCCTTGGCCTCCCAAAGTGCTGGAATTACAGGCATGAGCCACCGCACCTGGCCCATAGCAACATTATTCATACTCGCTAAAAAGTGGAAATAACTGAAATGTTTATCAACTAATGAAGGGATAACTAAATGTGGTATATGGAATAATGTACTGATAATTCTGCTGGTACAATGGAATATTATTTGGCAACCAAAGGAAATACTATAACATGAATGAACCTTGAAACAGATTTAGTGAAAGGATCCAGTCACAAAAGACTAAGTATTGCATGATTCCATTTAGATAAAATATCCAGAATAGACAAATCTGTAGAGATGGAAATCAGTGGTTGCTTAGGGCTGGGAGAGTTGGGGAAAATGGGGAGTGGCTGCTGATGGTATGGAGTTTCTTTTAGGGGATGCTAGTTGTACAGCTATGTGGATATACTCAAGCCCATTAAATTGCACACTTTACTTTGGTGAAGTGTATGGTATGTGCATTATATCACAATAAAGCTATTAAGAGAAAGAAAAACCACTGGTGTCTGTTAAATTCCTAATGTCGAACACACAGCCTGGCACATATTATGTACCCAGTAAATACTTGTTCAATTTAAAATTGTGTGTGTTTTTGTTATCTTCAACAACTGCTGCCTCTAGGCACCCCACACTTATTAAGATGAAAAAAAAATTGCTAATTTATCCTACTTAAAAAGACCTGTGGAAGAAAATACATGTGAATTCCGTGAGGACAGGAACATTGTCCTGTCCACCCCTTTATCTCCAGCTCCCGTAAGAGTACCAGACATGTAGCAGAGTATTTGTTAATAAATATTAAATATGGGTTCTAGTCTAAATTCTGGCCAGTAGAGCCCTTGGCCTATGCCTATTAATGTTGAATTCAAATCTGAAAGTGAGCATCAGCAACTGTGTAAATGAGTATGAATTGTGTGTGTGTGGGTGTGTGTGTATGTGTTTTCTCTTTTCTCGCTACAAGAACTCACAGAAGAGTATGACTCTTGCAAAGTGTAGAAAAGAGCCCTAAGAGAGGCATAAAATCCCGTGGAGTTTAGATGTGACAAAAGTCAATTTAGTTGGAGAAGCTTGGGTGGAGCTTAAAAAGGGTCTCAGGCCAGGCGCAGTGGCTCACTCCTGTAATCCCAGCACTTCGGGAGGCCAAGGCAAAAGAATCCCTTGGGCTCAGGAGTTCAGGACCAGCCTGGGCAAAAAAGTGAGACCTCCTCTCTACTGAAAATAAGAAATTAAGTGAGGTGCAGTAGCTCATATCTGTAATCCCAGCACTTTGGGAGGCTGAGGCAGATGGATCACCTGAGGTCAGGAGTTCGAGACCAGCCTGGCCAACATGGCAAAACCCCATCTCTACTAAAAATACAAAAATTAGCTGGGCGTGGAGGTATGTGCCTGTAGTCTCAGGTACTCGGAGGCTGAGGCAGGGGAATCTCTTGAACCTGGGGGCAGAGGTTGCAGTGAGCCGAGATCACACCATTACAGTCTAGCCTGGGATACAGAGTGAGACTCTGTCTCAAAAAAAAAAAAAAAAAAAATTTAAAAAAAGGAATGCATGAGAAAGGAACAGGACCAGGGGAGAGTGATATAAACTAGGATGATCTGCAAAGGCTTAATGAGGTTTCCTGTAGTACACAGTGTCTTATGAAAATAATTCAGATCTTTAGGACAGATGATCCCAGACTTGATATAGATGTAAAGCCTAAGGAATTAAATTTTCCAAACGTGGGATTCGGACATGCTATTTTCTCTGCCAACTGGGATGCCAGTGTTTCTCACACATAAGTCTTTGGGCCCTATCAATCACAATGGTATGTCTGGCATTTTCCTTTATAGAGAGCCTGCTGGCCCCGCTGAAGAAAGCTTAGGATAGAGGTTAAGTTGCACCCACTTGGTTTTGAATCACAGATCAATTGCTAACTGTTTGATCTCGGACCAATAAGTTAACTCTTTTTCCAAAAATATTAATTTAATTTAATGCTTCTGGAGACAGTCTCACTCTGTCGCCTAGGTTAAAGTGCAGTGATGCGATCACAGTTCACAGCAGCCAAAACCTACCAAACTCAAGCCATCCTCCCACTCAGCCTCCCAAGTAGCTGGGACTGCAGGCACATGTCACAACCCACCCCACTCAGTAAGCAATTTTTTAATCCCTAGTTTTCTGGTGTATAAAGTAGGAATATAAAAGAATTTATGTCATTCTAGGATTTAACAAAATAGAACATGTAAGCAAAGCTCTCGGGGGCTGGGCATGGTGACTCTTGCCTGTAATTCCAATACTTTGAGAGGCCAAGGTGGGCAATCACTCAAGCCCAGCAGCTCGAGACCAGCCGGGGCAACATAGTGGGACCCTCATCTCTACAGAAAATTTAAAAAATTAGCCAGGCGTGGGTGCACATGCCCGTAGTTCCAGCTACTCAGGAGGCTGAGTCAGGAGGATCAGTGGAGTCCTGAAGGCTGATCCTACAGTGAGCCATAATTGTGCCACTGTACTCCATACTTGGCAACAGAGACCCTGTCTCAAAAAAATAAAATAAATAAATAAAGCTGTTGTCACAATAAATGACAAATGGTAAATGGACCAAGAATGTTAATAATTATTAAAAACAAGAAGCGGGTTCAAACTGATACCCAAATTCTACGCTAGGAAGGTCCATCATTATGGCTGAGCCCTGGCTAACCACTTCTGTACAAATCAAGGGTGTCAACCAGCAGAAGCAAAGTAGACTTCATGTTTTTAAAACCCCATTAAAAATAATTATAATCTTACCAGTTTCTCCTTCACCTTCTCAATGTAGGAAGTGGTGGGTGGAAGCGGAAGGTCCTCTATGACCCTGCCAGAAAAGGAAGTGGCCCAGGCATATCACAGCAAGCTGGTGCACAGGCCGCACTGGAGGTGTGGCTCTTCTCTGGTGCCATCTCCTGCAAGGATCTATCTCAGTTTGCTGGGGGTGGCCTGAGGTCAGGTCAGGGGGATGCAGAGATGGAACTTTCTGCCTATCAACCCAGTGGGTATGGACATCAGATACCAAGGTTTTAATAGATTCAGCAGCTCTGCATAGCATGGGGTAACAGAAAGAAATGTCATTCTCAAAAATCAAAGGCACCTTCTGTGCAGAGAGATTACTGGAGTCACCCAAGCCTTCCTGGAAGATTTTTGGAAAGCTTTCTTTAAAAAGTCCTAGACAGCTGCAGGGACAGCTGTGAGAGGGAAGCCCCAGCCTTCTGGGTTGGTA